ACACCGCGCCCGCCAAGCTCAACAACAATCGTTGTTCGAGCACACGATAACGGAGCGCGGTGCAGGACTGAGTATAGCGGCAGAGCCCTATTGCGTCCCCAGGAACCACCCAAGGTGATTCGGGGACGACATGGGCTCTGTCGCTATCGTATGGAAAGTGAGTGATAACTCACCCCCCGCTACCTTTATTAGTAGCGGTAGGGAACACGTCGTGGCCAGGTGGGGAGTGATCACTGTAGTCGGGATATACCTCCCCCCATCCAAGAGCCTGGACCTGATTGGATACAGGTCTAGGCTCCAAGAAATGGGAGATGCCATCCAAAGGCATCTCCCAGGTCCTGTCATCGTGGCTGGGGATTTCAACGCGAAATCAGAATTATGGAGATCCCGGCACGGTGACAGGCGGGGGGAGGTAACAATAGACTGGGCCGCGGGCCTAGGTCTGCATATCCTGAACGAAGGAAGTAAACCCACGTTTGCAGGGCCGCAAGGGGAATTTATAATCGACCTATCTTGGGCAACCCCTACGGCCCTGAGAAGAGTGCGGACCTGGAGGGTGGCGGACGAGCTTGAAACGCTCTCGGACCATTTCTTAATAGAAATGCAGCTGTCCGTCATCCCCAATGGCCTGCGGCCTGACCAAAGGAAGGAACCCCGACCGGGTAAATGGTCACTAGCCCAACTTAACAGGGAGAATCTAGAGATCTCCCTGGAGGGCTCCACCTGGCCACGATAAGAGGAAGAGCAGGACCTTGACTCTGAGGTCATGGAGGTAATGAATATACTCGCACAGGCGTGCGACGCCTCCATGTCCAGAGTCAGGTCCTGCCCAAAACGATCCGCCTGGTGATGGTCCGACAGTATAGCTGCGCTGAGGCGCAAGTCGGTCCATGCTAGGCGGGCGTTCCGTAGGGAGCGGAACAGGCGGGTCCCGGACCCTGAGGCCTCTCTGGTCGCCCGGAAAGAATTCTGCAAAGCGGCTGTAGAATTGAGAAAGGCCATCGGGGCGGCCAGAGGAAGAGGGCGGGACGACCTCCTCCTCTCATTAGATGCGGATCCGTGGGGCGTCCATACAGAATGGTAATGCAGAAGCCATGGACGCCCCCTAAGACGGTGACGCTTGACACCCGGTTCCTGGAGAGGGTGATGGGGACCCTTTTCCCGGTTGGGAGGGGTAATCCCATCACCCCCTACACTCTACCATCCCCCGAACAGCAGGGGGAGGTACCGGAGGTCACAGAGGAGGAGGTGGCCGAGGGTGTTAAAAAGGTCAAGAGCCGAAAAGTTCCCGGACCGGATGGCATCCCTGGCCGCGTCCTTACCCTGGCCTTAGGGTACATGAACGGGAGGTTCACCGACCTGTTCACACGAGCCCTTAGGGAGAGAAGATTCCCCCCAGTCTGGGGGAGGGCCAATGTAGTCCTCCTCCAAAAAGAGGGCAAACCGGAGGACTCCCCCTCCGCGTACCGGCCCATATGCCTCCTAGACGAGGCGGGCAAACTCTTTAAGCGAATTATAGCTGCCCGCCTCCAGAGGCATATATCCCGGGAAGGTCCTGATCTCAGCGACGGCCAATATGGCTTCCGAGAGGGAAGGTCGACCATAGATGCAATTCTGCATCTCAGATCCCTCTCGGAGGCCATCGTGACGGAGGGCAGGGTAGCGGTTGCGATATCGTTAGATATCGCAAACGCATTCAACACCCTGCCCTGGGGTAGGGTGGTGGAAGCAATGAGGAATTATTTCTGCTTCCCGCCCTACCTCACGGCCGTCGTTGAGGATTACTTCCGGGGTCGGCGTCTAAGTTGGATGGACGCCGACGGCAAGGTACGCGAGAGGGGGATGAGTTGCGGGGTTCCACAGGGTTCAGTGTCGGGCCCGCTACTGTGGAACCTCGGATACAACTCAGTCCTCCGAGTAGCCCTCCCCCCCGGCTGTAGCATTATCTGCTACGCAGATGATACACTCATCTTGGCCGGGGGAAACGACTGGGGGGATGCTGTGCATACGGCAAATCAGGCGGTGGCAGGAGTCGTGCGCGCTATCCGTCACCTGGGCCTGGTGGTGGCCGAAAAGAAGACTGAGACTATCTTCTTTCGCACCAAGGGAAGAAAACCACCCCAGGCCCATGTACGGATAGGCACGGTCAGGGTCCCACTCGAGGCCTAGATGAGATATCTGGGCTTCATATTGGACGGCACCTGGTGCTTCAGAGAGCACATGAATAGGCTGGTCCCCCGACTAAGGGTGGTGTCTGCCAGGTTAGGCAGACTCATGCCCAATGTCGGGGGGCCAGACGGGAAGGCTCGTCACCTCTACGCAGGAATATTAAATTCTATAGCGCTTTACGGAGCGCCTGTATGGGCGGAAACCCTGGCCGCCAGTCGCCCCATGCGAGCGCAAATACGGAAAGTGTAGAGGGTGCTGGCGGTCAGGGTAGCGAGGTGTTACCGCACCGTGTCCTGCGTAGCGGCGACGACCCTGGCGAGCATGCCCCCCATGGAGCTCATGGCCTTGTCGTATAGAAACACATACGGCGGGAAGCGTGAGCTCCTACGTACAGGAGGGGCAGGCGAACCGCTCGCCAGGGCTCTCCGGAACATGAAGCACCAGGCTCGACAGGTCCTCCTCCAAAGATGACGGGGATTACTGGTCAATGCCAGGTACGGGAGGAGGACCGTCGGGGCCGTCCGGCCCTTCCTACAGGAGTGGGTAGGAAGGGCCCATGGGACCCTGACTTTCAGGATGGCACAGGTACTCACCGGGCATGGTTGCTTTGGTGAGTACCTGTGCTGAATTGGGAAATTGCGCACGACATCCTGTCACCACTGCGGACACAACCATGACTCCGCGCAGCACACACTCTAGGACTGCCCCGCCTGGAGTGCTGAGCGCGGAGTCATGGTCCGGGCTACGGGCCGAGATCTCTCGCTCCCGGGGATAATTAGGGCGATCCTTGGGAGCGAGAAGAGATGGAACGCATTCTCCTCCTTCTGCGAATCGGTGATGACGCAGAAGGAGGAGGCAGAGGAAATGCGAAGGAGGGCAGAGGATCGGGGAAGGAAACGCAGGCGGCGCGAGAGACACCGCTAGTGGAGAGGAGGGAGGAGTAGGAGCAGGGAGGGGGATGCTGACTCATCGGAGGAAGATGAGCTTAGGAGGATGGTGGGTCCACCACCTCCTCCTCCCCCTCCCCCTCCTGCTCCCCCTCCGGTTCCAGCGGGAGGAGGGACCCGTAGAGGGCGTGGTGCCTCTGGCGGGGTCCGAGGAAGACAAGCGATGGATGGAAACAGGGGAGTGGCGGTGGTGATGCTGCAGAGGTTGACCCCCCTAATGATGACGGCAGCGCTGCTGACTGTCCCCTACGGGGACGATGGCGGTGACACCACCACCACCACCCCCTACTGCCCCTCCTACGGCAGCAGCAACGGAAGATGGAGACGGGTGGAGGACGCGGCTCAGGCCCAGGCCCCACACCCGCATACCACCGACTCCCCTCAAAAAGGGGGTCGGATAATAATAAGGGGAGAGAGGGTGTAGATGATGATTAATCATCAAACAAAATACCTCCCCCCCAAACCGCAAATCCGATGTATGTCGGATATGCGGGAGGAGGGGTCACTAGGACCCCCATCTCATTCCTCCGCGGAGGTGGGGGAGCCCGGCGGCTAGGGGAACTTTCCCCCCGTAACCTCCGGGCAGGAGGGTGGGGCACCGGGCGGGGACTCCCGGTGCCCCCAACCAGTCCTCCCAAGGGTGGCTGACTGATACGGTGGGTTAGTCAGCCATGCAACATGTACTGGCGGCGCCTCATCTGGTCAGGGACGGTGGTTGAAGCGGGCTCCGGCCGGCTTCCCCCTTCCTGACCGAAGAGATGAGGCGTGAGAGGCGGGAAAGGGGAGCGGTAGTCGAAGCGAGCCCTCGAGCTGGCTTCCCCCCTCCCCTGGGGAGCGGTGGTCGAAGCGAACCTCCGGGTTGGCTTCCCCCCCCCGCCCCTCAGGGACAGAGGGCATAATGCTTGGACTCGGGGCCCCGATAAGCAGTTACGCGGCTCCGGGGCCCTGATGCCAGTCCCTTCGCAGCGCCACCCGGGGAGGTTTTAGCCGGTAGGAGTCCGGCATAACCCTGGCCCTTCCCCGACGGTCAGGGTATCCATAATGGATTTCCTCCTCGTCAAAAAAAAAAAAAGAAAAAAGAGGTGCGCGATAAGAATTTATAAATATCATAACATGGGAAAGCATGAGTTTCCGAAGATCAAAGGCTAGTAATATCATATAACAGCATGAAAGATTGTCTGGTCGGTCCGTCTTCAAAGAAAATTATTGCTCCGAACGGGAAGTTATTTAAGGTTATTTGGAGAGGAGATATATGGCCAAAATGACTCAGCGGATCTTTTCCGACGGAAATAGAGGAAACTCCGGTGATTAAAGCAGAGAGAAAAAAAAGAGATATCTGTGTGTATGACGTCACTGTTCTCGGAGGGTAATGAATATTTGGTCATATAATATAAAATGCAATCCGCCCTACTTGACAACAAATTCGAAGTACGCGGGGTCCGTAGGACGTAACAAGATTATATTGATTTTCACTCTAATAAATTGAATTTTTCGAAACTTATAAAGAGCACGTTGCACGCTGACATTTTTGCAAGATTTAGAATTAATTTGGAAATGATCTGCACTATACGTTTGGCAAAGATCCGGATCACATTCCCTGACAGCCAGATAACAAGGACACTGATTTGTATTGCATTGCGCTTTACACCTACACTCAGGAAATCTGTTCTGGCATTCGCTGCTGCACTGATAAAACTTCTCGCAGAAGTTTTGTGCTTGTATACATGGGCATGAATTACCATATTAACAGCCGGTATGACCACAAAGTGCAAAATTATGCACGTGATTAGCACCTATTCATTCAAATGAAACGTATGAATTAGAGGCAAATAAGATGAGGGGATAGTATAAAATTTAACATATCCGAGTCCTTCTTAACTTGTATTTTCCGGCAATGCATAGACCACAACCGATGCTTTTTTCTTTTTTCGCGGCGGTGTGAAGTCCTTGAGATTTTCTATAGCAGGAATGTCCGAAGCTTCTTTCTGCGCAAATTCGTAAACTTCCTTGCTTGTTTTTGTTAATAATCATTTTTGTTAATAATGATACTTCTTAATCAATCACTGATGTTTAATCAAAAAATATCCTAATCAATCACTAATGTATCCCACTGATGATGACGATGCACTGATGTTGCGTGCTTAATGTATGTATATATTCTTAATCAATCACTGATGTTTAATAAAAAAAATCCTAATCAATCACTAATGTATATCCCACTGATGACGATGCACCGATGTTGCATACTTAACCCACCATTTCTTCCCAGTGTTGCGTATACGCAACACGAAGTTTAACTTCACAAAATGCAGTTAAAATGAACTTATTTCACAATTAGTCTAACACTTCGTGAAAAAAAATAATTATTGATAATTAATTATATAAACTTCGTATTGCGTATACGCAATATTAGGAAGAAATGGGTTATGTATGTATACTACTATTCAGCGCTCTCGTAGCGCCCCTGGTGTCGGAAAAACGAGAAGTACAAATCCTCTCTCCTCGGCGGTCTATTCTTTTCTCTCTTATTCTCTATCGCTTGCTCACTCGCACTCGCTGCTCTTTGCATCTTCAGCGCGCTCGTAACGCCTCTGGTGTCAGAAAAACGAGAAGCACAAATCCCCTCTCCTCGGCGGTCTAGCGTTTCTTTCTTACTTTCTTACTGAATGATAATTTCTGTGATTGAGACTTTAATCTTAAAATATCTCCATTTAGAGACAACATACACAAAAACCACAAGAACACTTTTCTTCCTATTTTTTAAGGCTGAATCGATTGGGACTAAAAAAACATCGATCGGTTCAGCCATTCCTGAGATATGAATATCTCACCTCGTTTCAACTCGCAGTTTCGCGTATAATAGGCACTACCGTGCCTCTTGATATGAAAAATTGCGCATTACGGAATGTTCTAAACATTTTCAATTGGTGGTCTTGGAGATAATTGTACGACGCTTAATAAAACATTATTTCAAATGTATGTTCAGATGTTTCTTCCAACATGCTTATCCCCTGTCACCTCTTAGGATTTTATATGATAATTGTGTTTGATAAAAATACAGTTCTTTATTTGCGGTATGATAATTATTAGACGTTCGAGAGACGTTCAATAGACGTTTGATAGACGTTCGATAGACGTCCGAGAGACGTTCGAGAGACGTTCGAGAGACGTTCGAGAGATGTTCGAGAGACGTTCGAGAGACGTTCGATAGACGTTCGAGAGACGTTCGATAAACGTTCGATAGGCGGGACCCAGGTTCGATAGTAATCGCGGGGCCCATGTTTGAGCCTACTTACATCCCGGCACGTTTCTCTCTCTGGACATGTGCGTGATGTCACGGCCGCCATCTTATCCGTAAACGTGACGTCTACTAACAATAGGCGACGGTGGTCTAGGAGGTTGGAGCGTTCGATAGTAGCCGCAGGATCCAGGTTCGAGCCTACCTAGATTCCGGCACGTTTTTCTCTGGACATGTGCGTGACGTCGTCACGGCCGCCCTGTCTTACCCGTAAACGTGACGTCTGCTAGCAATAGGCGACGGTGGTCTTAAGAGGTTGGAGCGTTCGACAGTAGCTGCAGGACCCAGGTTCGAGTCTAGCAACAACACCCGGCCCGTTTTTCTCTGGACATGTGCGTAACGTTAATGGCTGCCATCTCTTACCCGTAAACGTGACGTCTACTAGCAATAGGAGGCAGTAGTCTAGAAGGTTCTCGAGCGTTCGATAGCAACCGCGGGGCCCTCAGGTTCGATCCTACCTACATCCCGGCACGTTTTTCTCTGGACATGTGCGTGACGTCACGGCCACCCGGCGCCATCTTGCCCATAGAATCAAACAATTCTGGGGAGGAGGGAGGGTATCAATAGGGAGGTATTAATTAAAATATTTCGTTAATAAAGTCAGGTTTGAAAATATTTCATTAAAAAGATCAGGCTTTTGAAAATTCATTTTAAAAAGTGGGTTAGAATCTCCCTTGTTTATAACTACTTTAAATCCTTGAAAATAAATGCAGTAGTGGAAAATGCAGGCTTAACAGGAGAGCATCGTAAGAACTCTTCTAGAGCGCGAGTGCGAGATTCAAGAAGCAGGAGTTCGTCAAATAACGGTGGTTCGTCGGAGTCACTTGATTTGACATTCCACGCCTTTCGGGTTACTGAATCTAATTTTTGAACTACAAAGTAAACGAGAATATCGTTCCATAAATTATCAGATGTACGTTTTAAACTTTGTAACAACGCGACAGCGATGTTTATTTTATCACGCAGTTGTAGATCGCACACAGACTCTCGAGGAATGACCATCAAATTTCAGCAGTGTCGACAAATGTAAATTTAATAATCAACGCCGGATCTCCAAATGCGCTACCAATGCTTGCTACGCAACAGGAAAATTATCCGTTGTTACCGTTAAACTCGAAATGCATTCGAGCGCGCGGCCTCGTACACAGGAAGTAACATAATGCGTCTGCGTGAAATTATTTAAATCTTTATTGTGGAGGATAAAAGCAGTAAATCGATCGCGGAAATGCTCCTAGTCGCCATTACGTCTGTCGAATGGCGGTAACTGAATTGATGGCAATAAAAAATGCAGTTGAATCCGAAGGTGTATGAAGTTTAGAATTGGATCTCATGGAACTTATAGGATGCTCCAATTTTTCAAGGCATTCCGCCATATAATCGAGAGCTGATATGTAGATATCTTCTATTGCGTCAAACAAGTCGTCTTGGAAATATGGAATGGACGCCTTACTGGCCTCTGATGTCATCTTGGATATGGAGACGTGTCCGTCCACGAATTGCATCCAGTTTTCCTTGAAAATACTCATCCAGGAGCGTATTTTCCGTGGTGTTAGATGTGCTTTCCCAATTTTCATGAAATTATCAAGAGTGCGGTCGATTAACTGTTTCAGTTGAAGCTGCCTGGCGAGTGCCTCCGACATATCAAACAATTAAGAGGAATGTCTTTTTTCCGGACGGCTCTTTACACGTTCTCCGATCCAGCTCGAAGGACCAAATGTTTCGGATGATCGACTTGAATGGTTTTGGCCGATCTCCTGATGCCAGCACAACCCAGCTCTGAGTTCGGAAACGTGTATGATCGTCGTTGAATTTTGGTGCAGTAATTGACACGGCGGATGTTGACTGTCGAAAACAAATTATTCTGACTGCAGAGCCGAACAGCCGACGTTACAGAGTAAGCACGGAAGTACGAAATCTGTGCACAGAGAAATGTCCAGTAGGACGAGGTGAGCTGCAGATTGAGAAGATTTCATCAAGCTGAAATCGCAGCAACTCTCCTTGCCATCAAGACGTCACAAGCTTTATCAGATCAAATGTTTTGGAAGGATCGACTTCCGATTTGAACAATCGCAATCCACTGAATTTACCGTTTAGCGTGCGATGTGCCGAGCGACAAAGGCGTTCCGTAAACATCTCATTATCAACAGTCTCTGATCACGTAAAAACAGAATTCTTCACGCTTCCAGAAAAATATAACAATTTGACTGATTTAGTTCGAAATGCTTAATCTCGAATAACTATAAAAATACAAACGAGCAGAACGGAATGTTAATTACGTTCAGGAAGTACAAGATATTCTTACTTTTAAGCGTATCTACGAATTTATATTCTTTTGTAAAGATTAATTAACACCCATCTTTCTCGTTGGTATTTTTATAGTTTATTTTGCAGTTAAAAAACTTGCATAATATTGAATATTTTGAACTTGACTCCGATAAACCTCCTTGTTAAAAAGGAAGTAAAAATACCACTTCATAAGACGCAACTGCTAGGACAAAAGAACTGGATGAATGAGGGTATATTCAGTATTGAAAGTGAAGTAAGCGATCCTATTCAACAGATGAGATCAGATCACATTACTCCTACCTTTCATAAGAAATTTAAGGTTATTATAGACCCAGATTACTGAAATAACTAAAACAGAAACTATCCTGAGAATATCCTGATCTGGTATATAGACGAATCCAGCATAGACTCAGGTAAAGAAGTTGAAATATATGACGAGAGATCAAAGGCAAAGATTAGTCTGCCACTGGGGATGCTTGCACAATCTTCCAAGTTGAAATATACAAACTGCTAAACTGCTGTGTAAGGGAAAATATTAGAAGAGCCCATGTAAATAAGCATATTCTCATCTTTTCAGATAGTCAGGCTGCGCTGAAGGCTATTGCGAGACCTACATTGACCTCCAGATTTGTTTTAGAATGTATTGACACTCTTACGACTCCAGCTGGCCGGAACAAGGTTCAACTTTTGTGGGTACCAGAACACAATGGAGTGGAGGGAAATGAGAAACCTAATAAACTAGCCAGACAGGGAGCTACTTCTCATTATATTGGCCCGAAGCGGGTGCTAGGTATTTCCAAATGCACAACCAGGGCCGTTACCGGCTGATGGGCGTATGAGTAACAGATTAGAATCCGGAAAACCATTCCGGGTATTAAGCATGGAATATTATTTATAGATAGACTATGCCAAAAAAGAGCTAAAATTCTGCTAAAACATATCAGCTCAAAATTATGGTGGCCACTCTAGCAAAGCATGCACCTACGAAAAAACACTTATTCAACTGGAGGCTGTATCAAGGTGACCAAAATTGCAGATTCTATGGACAAACCCCAGAAACAGTCAACCATATAGTCGTAGAATGCGACGCTTTGCCTCGCAATAGATTAAGGACATTGAGGAACGTATTTGCTGACTCCAAAGATATCAGCACAGGTTCGTACTCGAACATGCTCTCCTTTATAAGGGAGACAGAGATTATGAACTGGTGCTATTAGATAATAAACTTAATTCCTGTCGCTTGCTACTAGAGGGTACTGGCTCCAACGCTAGCGAATTTCAACGGTAAAGTCGCATATTTGTTGTAGTTTAAGCTTACTGTGAAAGTGATTCAGTTTTTATAAATTAAATTTCTCGACGCCAAGATTAGATTAGATAGTTTGATTTTCCAATCGATTGAAAACGAACCGCGATAAGCAATTTTTCCGATATGTGCTCTATTACTTCGACCGCAAGAAAACCGCAGCTAAAACGCATCATATATTATCCGAAGGGTATGGTGATGAAATTCCATCGAAAAGAACATGTAGAGTTTGGTTTGAATGCTTTCGAAATGATTATTTTGACGTGAAAGGTAAAGAACGTCCCGGACAGTCGAAAAAATTTGAAGATGTTGAGCTACAAGAATTGCTCGATGAGAATCCAGCTCAAATGTTTTTAAAGTTGTTGAAAGCGTTAAATGTTACTCCAATGGCCGTCTCAAAACTCTTGCATGCGATGGAAAAAATTCACAAGAAAGAGACATAGCTACCACATGAGTTGTCAAAAAATGCCATTTTGAATCATTTGTTTATCGCAACTCCTTTGCTTGCCAGGCAAAGAAAAAAAAGTTTGTTGTAGCGTATTGTGACGCGGTGAAAATTGGATTTATTTTTAATATTATAATATTATATTTGCTATTACCGCGATTTTTAAAATTTTCAAATTTTAAAAATAATATGTATGAATGTTATCACATGCGTCGATGAGCACATCGCACAAAGCGCCCAACATCAACACCTACGTGGTGCGCGCGCAGACGGTTAATTGTTTCGCCCTTGCCTGCCTTTTGTAGCTAGCCTGTAATAGACGAACTATTTATCTTAATAAATCAGTAACTAAGCATCGGATAACATTTTGCAAGAGAAAAAACAGATTCTTAGAATTTGCTCAAAAATATGGTATATTGAAGACAAGAAATTATTCCAGATCATCCAGTATATATATATTATAAATTGTGGAGAGGGCGATTACCGAAGGAATTCAGATGAAATGTACAAACAGCGAAAAGAAGAAGTAAAAAAGGAAGAGCGTGTGAAGGAATGGGAATAAAGAGAGAAATAGTAGTAGGAGAGGAATAAGTACTATGGGGGTAGGTATGGCCAGTCAAAACATTCCCACTCCACTCTCTGGTGCCACTAGACCACGCCCACCGGCGCCAGAGGGTCGATTAGAGGGAGAATGTTTTGAGTGGCCATACCTACCCCCAAGGCTGAAAATGGCGGAAATTGGAATTACCGGAATAAAAATTAGCGTAATCTGAATATTAAATATTTATTATTCATATTAGGCGTTGTTGTGATTCTTTAGCTATTGGTCAGCTGGTTAATTTGCATATTACTTTTGGAAAAATTTCCTAGGCACTCTGCGAGGCTCGAACACGGGACCTCAAAGGCTCTTGAGTCAAACGTCTTACCACTGCTCTACTGCTACTCTGTGGTAGAAACTGGTTTCATGGCGTACACGTAGAACGGAAAGATGTTGTTGTGTGTGTGTGTGTGTGGTTAGTGCGAAGTCTCTGGAAAAATCCTGTGGACCTGGCCGGATTCGAACTTGGATCCGCTGGCTTTCGAGTCAAGCGTCTTATGAACTACGCTACTGCTATACCCTGATGGAAACAAGCTATATTGTATATATACGAAGAGCATTGACGTCACGCGTGAAAAATTTGGCGAATTCTAGAACTTACGGGACTCGGGACCCCACCATGAGACCCCAGCTCTTGACTCTCCTGAACGTGTGCGAGCATGTTCGAGCAGGTAGGGATCATTTTGAAGACAAAAACTACCCAGCGATTGGAAGATGATACCTCTGGTCTATGTCTACCCAAATATTTTTACCTGTGCGGGTCCCCTCGCTTTCGAACTCGAAAAGTTTACAACGGGATTTGTTACCTCGAACTGAAAATCACAGGGAAGAGCGAAGAGGTGAAGAGAAAGGAATGCACAATATTTTTCATAGAATTAATTCACATTTTATTCTTATATTAGGAGTACAAATAAGTTTCCGCCGTTTTCTATCAAAAATTAGGAATTTATTGTGAAAGAACGGTATATTACGTTTTATTCAAAGCATTGTCCATCACTAGCCACTACTTTTTCCCATCTTTCTGGCAGCATTCGAATACCACGTCGGAAGAACTCTTCATTTTTTGAGGCTACCCACGAATCGACCCAATTTTTAGTATCTTCATATGAGCACTATCTTAACAGCGCTTTATGATGATATCTTCATACCATCATAAAGCGCTGTTTAGACAGGCCATATGCCACCGACAGGAACAAGTGATAATCGGAAGAGGCAATGTCTAGTGAATACGGCGGATAGGGTAGGACTTCCAAATTAAGTGTTTCCAAATAGGTTTTGACCGGTTTTGCAACATGTGGCCGAGCGTTGTCATGTAGGAGAATAATTTTATCGTGTCTGGAGTAGTAATGGGCGCATTTTTCCTTGAGTGCTCGGCTCAATCTCATTAATTGTGTTCGGTGGAGAGTTCCAGTAATGGTTTCGCTCGGTTTGAGCAACTCATAATACACGACATCAAGCTGATCCCACCAAATACACAGCATGAGTTTTTCCATGAATATTCGGTTTGGCTGTCGATGCTGAAGCGTAGTCAGGTGGTCCCCATGATTTTCTCTTCTTTAGGTTATCGTAGTGGATCCATTTTTCATCACCAGTAACTATACGATGCAAAACACCCTTTCTTTTATGCCTGGCAAGCAGCATTTCACACGTGCAAAATCGGCGTTCAACGTCTCTCGGCTTCAGTTTATATGGAACCCAATTTCCTTGTTTTTGAATCATTCACAACGATTTTAAACGATGTGGAATTGCTTGTTGAGTCACTTCTAATGTAAGTGCAAGTTCTTCTTGCGTTTGGCACGAATCTTCCTCGAATAATGCTTCCAACTCCGTGTCTTCATACACTTTCAGCCTTCCACTACGTTCTTTGTCTTCCACGTCAAACTCACCGTTTTTAAACTTTTGAAACCACTCACGACAACTTCTCTCATTTAAAGCAGTCTCACCATATGCTTCTACAAGCAATCGATGCGCCTCAATTGCAGATTTCTTCAAATTAAAGAAGTAAATCAAAAGTTCCCACAAATGACGCTTATTCGGCACAAAACTTGACATTTTCGCAAGCAAAAAGTTATGTGATGCTGATACGGAGTCACTAATACTTCAAGGCTATGTTGTTACCATATGTCCAAACTTACAATAATACGTTTTACATCTGACAATTTCAACATAACCTTCTGGTGGGGTCATCTTTTGTCAAACGGCGGGAACTTATTTGTACTCCTAATACATTTTCCTTAATACGGAATTGAAGCTGGTACACATGGATATGATAATCTAGAGGCTTACATTGACAAAAGATTTTCTTATACATTCGTACAATCAACTGATCGTTTCGTTCACAATCATTAGTAAACATACTGTTAAACTACTCGAGGTTATAACCCCGACACATAAAGTAAAGAAAAACACAACAATAATGACCACAAGTCGTCGATGAGAGCTGTAGCTGAAAGGTATTCCATTGGTAAGTAACGGAATTTCTTCTAAGACGCAGGAGAAATCGTGAGTCCCAGGGTGGCATCCCGTAGCTGTCGAAGTATGTGGCCGCTCCATTCCGATCGCCGTAGAATGCGACCCAGTGCTGTCCCGGACGATCATGATTGTCCGTATTAGCGACTACTGTCGTCGACCTCATCCACACCCTCGGTAGTCTGTCGGCTGGATAGACGCCTGTGTATCTAGCATTGAGATGTTGCAATGCATGTTGAATTTCGAGCGAATTCATTTTATATAATTTCGTTTACCTCTGGTAACGCGATTGTTATAGTCTTCGATGGCTCGACGGAATGTTCCAACACAGTATTTGTCTCGTTTTCCTCTTCTTCAATCGGCGACTGTTCGCTTCCTGATTTGTCGGAATAACTATTTTCCCTGTCTTCCTCGTCGATTTTGGAGGACAAACACCGGGTCATATAGATGTTGTCGCGTTTCCTGATGTTGATTGGACTTTGTTCGATGAACCAGTGTTTCATTTTGTATGCATCGCCTAATGCACAATGATAACGTCTGTGTTTTCTAAATGTGTGGAATGAGCAGCCTTCTATTCGTTCGCTGGGTGAAAGATCACTGGACGTCGGCGAGATATTCTTCAGATTATACACGTTTCGCATTAACAAATTTTGCAAGTAGCTCACTTTTTCCTTGCCTTTTGTCATGAAGACACGAATATGACTCGTAATTTTACACAAGCGCGGATAAAAATATTTTGGGTTAGTTTCCCCATCGTACCACTCGATTCCATGATAATTCAGCGAAAGCCAGTTATTTATCCATCTTGATTTTTCGTTCAATTCCGCAAATGAATACTCTGGAGCTAAGATTAAATGTCCGACAAATGCCTCATTAATACCGACAATAGCCACCTCCTTGAGCACATAGGTATCGTTGCTTTCGCAGAAACACTGCACTTCGATGATCACATCCATGTTCCCGCTGTATTCGCAATTCTGCTTTGCCGAAGCTATACTCTTTACGGCTCGAAGTCGACTGAGTTCTTTTCTCAAAATTTTTACTCTGGAGGAGTAAAATGCCGGAGGAGGAGAATGATGTTGAAAATCTTTACACAGGAAGGGGAAAGACGCCGAAAAGAAAAATGGGAGACATGTTTCTCTAACTGCTATAATCTACAATGACTTGACGAGAAGAATCTATTTCCAGCACACTTTCAAATTCAGCGTAAACTAAGCAATTGACCGTTGTTGTGAGGGCTCTTTCGAATAGTACTTCCATTCGTAAACTACGGCGTTTCACAAGGTTCCATTGGCTCGCGCAATTAGCTGACAGATCAGGAGTGAGATCAAAAGCGAAAGGAGTATAACCAGCAGGATAATCTCCTCTGGATATGGAATTAGTTTCGATCAAAAAGTGAATGTCTGTTCCTGAGAAAAGTGTGTGATACGCCTCGACGTAGAACATCTCGTTACCAGAGAATTTGGGTTGTAACGGTCTGCTAGAGATTTGAGTACCATCGACATACAACGAAAAGAAATTTATTTCATAATACTGGAAATTGAATGGATTTAAATGCCGGGCAGCGTTAAACGCTTTGTTATCGACAAAGCCGACAATTATGCGCTTTGGTATTTGTCCAAAAATGACGTTGTCCAGTGTCTCTCCTACGACGCCGCTATGAATCGTGAATGATTTAACCTCGATTCTCGTGAGGGGGTATTTAGCAGTAGTCCTGGTCAACATTTTCGTATGAGCGAGTAATATGCCTGGGTTTATTGTAGCTCTTCTGATGAGTAGTGTAGCATCTAAAATGCGTATCCGTGACATAGTATTTCCCTCCATAAGGCAGAAGGAGTATTTCGAACGAACAAGCCTCATGCGCACTTCGACACCGTTGATCAAGAATTTATCTTGATTGAAGACGTCGCAGTGAAGATGATCTATGAGATCGAGTGTTCGTCTTCCTTGTACAAAAGTGGCTCGCTTGTCGAGTCCGTGATTGCTTGGTGTCGCTCCAGGTAGAGCATTCATGTTCCCTGCAGTATCGCTGTACCACAGGCACGAAGCCACGTGGAAGGTTTCTACTGATAAAGCATAATTTAATAACACCTCCATGTAAGCACGGTAAGCGTAAGCATTGTTTGGAGAAGACACGAGCTTTTGATTGTTAGATCAAATTGATCTATACGTCAATTTGATACCGAATTTCCATCTGCGAATCGCTGCTGAATCGCAACAAAATCGACCCATTTCTGAAGCGGTTGGTCACTGGTGATGAAAAGTGGATCACTTACGACAACGTCAAGTGAAAACGGTTGTGGTTGAATCGCGGTGAGCCGGCGGAAACGGTGGCCAAGCCAGGATTGACGGCCAGGAAGGTTTTGCTGTGTGTTTGGTGGGATTGGCAGGGAATTATCTACTATGAACTGCTCCCCTACGGCAAAACTCTTAACTCGGAACTGTACTGTCAACAATTGGACCGTCTGAAGGAAGCAATCGCCCAGAAGCAGCCAGCTTTGGCCAATAGGAGAGAAATTGTGTTCCATCAGGACAACGCCAGGCCACACACATCGATAGTGACTCGGCAGAAGCTCCGGGAGTATAAGGTGGATGCATAAGAATCTCCCAACCAAGCGGTTGGGAGGTTCTTATGCATCCACCTTATAGTCCGGATCTGGCACCAAGTGATTACCCTCTGTTCCTGTTCATGGCGAACAATTTTGCTGGTGAAAAATTCGCTTCAAGAGAGGCTTGTGAAAATCGACTGTTTCAATTTTTTACCAATAGGGACGAGGGCTTCTATGAGAGAGGCATAATGAAATTACCTTCAAAATGGCAACAAGTTATCGAACAAAACGGCGCATATTTGATCTAAATCGGATCATTCTAACTATGGTAATTAAAGCCTTCAATTTCATGCAAAAATAATGGATTTCTTTTTACTACACCTGATATATAGTGTATGAGAAAATTTTTATATAATAATTGCAATGGAAATAGGAATAAAAATATTGTTATTAAATATATAGGAGTGCTATTAACCCTTTGTGGTCGATGCCGCCACTGTGGCGGCATTCGCAAGTCGTCGTAGAAGTCGGTGCCGCCAGGCTGGCATTCATGATCGCCTGGCGCGCGGCACGGCAAACGTGGCTAGCGATAATGAAAGAAAACTGTCCTCCCGATGCTAGATTCAAATGTTTAGATCAACTTACAGATATCAATGTTTATCGATCTCTTCGAAATCGGCCGACCGCAAAGGGTTAAACTAGTATGAGATAATTTTTCGTAATCCTATATCGTATATATAAAATATTTGTTTCTGTTACAACTCTCTGTGTTGTGTTGAAGTCGTGTTGTGTTGAAGTTGTGTTGTGTCTTTATCTCTTCTGGCAATCCCCCTCCAAAATCTTCCTTTGTGTCATTCTAAACGATCGTTAAGAATGACGAAATGATTCGAGCATCGGAACAGTCGTCAGTAGAGTAAGCAGCAGTGTGCGTTTACTAGTGATACAGAGCAGTTCGGTGATCATATTTAAATTACATATATCATAACAATGTCAGAGAATCCTTCAACAAGCAAAATAGTTGATGTAGAATCGCTAGAAGAAAGATCTTTTGAAAATGAAGATTTTAAAGGTGAATTCACTAATGCTCTCGTATATGCGAATTCTATTTACGAGAATAATGAATTATCATCGAAAAATCCTCCAGCGAAAATATAATATATTTTTACTCCTATTTCCATTGCAATTATTGTATAAAAATTTTCTCATAAACTATATATTTTATAGATAAGATTTACGGTGTTACGTCATGCTGACTCAACGAACCTCAAAACTCTTATATAAATAAGAGAAATCGAATTTATTTTTACTGATTACACGTCTGAATGCGCTCAGGCGTGTTACCACACGACCTATCTCACAAGTTATCACACGAACAATTTCTGGAAATTTTGATACCCGAAAATACTAATAATCTTAACCTAATCCCTATTTGGTTTCCTACGAACTTAGTCACTGATACCAGCATCACGACATCGTTCTTATAAATATCGATATTTACTTCTTAAGATAGCTGCCACGATTTTTTTTATTTACAAAAGTCTTTCGAAATCCTCTTATTGCCACATGCATCTTATCTCCTATAAAATAATCATCTGGAACATATCCCCCAAAACCCCACTCTTTCAACCGAGCTGACTTTTTGAGAAAAGTCAAAAGCCTCAGACACTTCTTGCCGATCCAGCACTCAGGACAGACGCTTCTCTCCAGCACTCCTTCAGGATTTTCTTAACAATCAAGCCAACTTGTGGCTTAGACCAACCAGTATTCTTCACTTGTTAATTTTTCGGTGCAACGATCTTGTGCCTTCTTGAGACATTGAGAGCGATTTTGCCAAAACCAGCTGCCTGTCCTTGGCGCAGAACTTGCATCTATCCACACAGAGACGCAGCAACCATACCTTTCATTGTCTACTAAGATCAGAAGAGTCCAGCAGTAAGTCATTTATATTTTCTTTCATCTGAGTGATCTCTTTTCTTTTCATTTTGTTTCAACTCCTTTTCTATTCCCCTTGTCATTCCTCTTTAACTGTAAAATACAATTGCAGTGGCTCAAAATTATCTAATCCAAACGGACCTGACTACTGCAGGAGAGTACGAAAACCGCGAGGATTTAGAAGTAGCTTTTATAAATTTTTCATTACAAGATCGTCCGGATTATATTGTCCGCCCTGACGAACCAAGAATCCCGAGCTTATTGTTCCTTCCAGATTCTCCTCCCGAAACCCCTCCCATATCTTACTCTCCTACATCCTTGAGTCCCACTGAGAACCGATCTCCGACAACCTCCCCGTTCCTTAGAAGTCCATCCCCCACACCTTCCCTGTCGACCTCACCGTTACGAGGGGGCACACATGGTTTCCACGCGGCGTTACTTCGCGGGCTCATCCCCATTTATTCTCCTTCTCTCTCAGAGGCGTCCTCGCGACGATCCTCTCCCTCACCGCCAGCCACCCCGACACAAGATCTTTCCTTATCCGAATATCCCTCGGACTAATTAAGAATTCTCGCCAGAACCCACCACATCATCACACCCATGTAATTACACAACACATATGTATACATAAATAAATCGTACAAATTTTATTTCTTCATAAACTTCCGCTTAATCATCAATAAAACAAATTATTTGTAATTGCAATCCAATTATTAGGTGCGCAACTAAGTTCCCGCTGTTTTTCAAGAGATGGCTCCAGTAGTAAGTGCTGGTCGATTGTGACATAACTAAAATGTCATGAACCAAGCTTAGACATATGGTAAACAAACCGCTTTGACACATTAGTGATTTTGTTTTTGCGTCATATACTTTTGGTTGTGTGAAGATGTCTGATTTTGTGCCAAATAATCGTCATTTGCGGGAAATGTTGCTTTTCTTCTTTCATTCGAAGAAAACGGCGGCTGAAGCGCATCGAGAGCTCCAAAAAGTTTACGGAGATGCTGCTCTAAGTGAAACAACGTGCCGTGATTGGTTCCGTCGCTTTAAAGACGGTGATTTCGATGTTGACGACCGTTCGCGTGAAGGAAGGCCAAAAACCTTCGAAGACGCTGAATTGGAGGCATTGCTCGATGAGGATCCGTGCCAAATGCAAAAAGAGCTTGCTTCAGCATTAGGAGTTACCCGCCAAGCCATTTCCAAGCGATTGCATGCGTTGGGAATGATTCAAAAACAAGGAACTTGGGTTCCTTATGATTTGAAGCCAAGAGACGTTGAGCGTCGTTTTTTCGCCTGTGAACAACTGCTCCAGCGGCAAAAAAGGAAGGGTTTTCTTCATCGCATCGTTACAGGTGATGAAAAATGGATTCATTACAGCAACCCAAAGAGAACAAAATTATGGGGACTGCCCGGTCATGCTTCTACGTCGTCGGCTCGGCCGAATATTCACGCTGCGAAGGTTTTGCTGTATATTTGGTGGGACCAGGGCGGTGTTATTTATTATGAGCTGTTGAAACCGAACGAAACCATCACTGGGGAACGGTATCGAACTCAATTGATGCGATTGAGCCGAGCACTGCGCGAAAAGCGGCCACAATACGAGCAGAGGCACGAAAAAATGATTTTACAGCATGACAACGCTCGGTCTCACGTTGCCAAACCCGTTAAAACCTACTTAGAAACGCTCAAATGGGAAGTCCTACTCCACCCGCCATATTCCCCAGATATTGCGCCGTCCGATTATTACTTGTTCCGTTCGATGGCACATGGTCTGGCTAATCAGCAGTTCCGCTCATATGAAGACATCTCAAAATCGCTTGATTCGTGGATAGCCTCAAAAGACGAACACTTCTACCGTGACGGTATCCGAGCTCTGCCAGAAAGATGGGAAAAAGTTGTCGCTAGCGATGGGCAATATTTTGAATGATTCATTTGTAACCATTTTTTCACAATAATATTTTTCACAATAAAGTTGCATTTTCATCAAAAAAACAGCGAGAACTTAGTTGCGCACCTAATACGATTTCCGACTAATTATTCTCAACAAAAATTCTCCTTTCCTTCGCTCAACCGTCGCTCACGGTCCTATCCCAGGTAAAAGGATTCAGTTCCTTAATCTAAATCAAGGACCACCGGCGTACGTCCGCGTCAGATGAAGGGATCGCTCCGATCCTTGATCTGTACCGCTGACTTGCGAGTACGTCGGAGTTTGCGAAAGCAAGCGCCAAGTTGCGCTCCTCCTCCAGGACGTAACATATAAAAATTGGGGGCTCGTCCGGGATGATAAGAGTGACTGTTGAAAAAGGGCATGAATACGCGATCAAATTCAGATAAATCGAAGGTTGAAAAGGCATATCAACAGGCCATACAAGCAACGCCTAAAACTTCTAAAACAATTGAGCCACAATACGCATCCACACCTTACGCTCTTTCTGCACCCTCTGAATCTTCAAGTGTTCCCCCCGCATCTACTCTCTTACCTATAATTGAACCCGCAACTCCTGACATTCGGAGAATTTTGAGTGACAGTCCGCTTTCAGAAACTGCATTCGGGTTAAAACCGCGAGCTTTTGATAACCCTCTTAGTCCTATTCCGGATGAAAGTTTAGAACAGACATC